TTCTCTGATCACTACTCACTGCATGATGATGGTCAAATATTTTAATCTCTCAGTGTGTCCATTTCCTCCTAGGTAAAGTGGGGCTAAACCAGTGTCAAAGCAATGATGTAAAAATTAAAAGAGTTAACAAGCAAGTGTTCAGAATTGGGCCCAGTGCATGGGAATCCATAAACGTTGGCTCTTATGATCAGTGTAGCTAGCAGCCTAGAGCTCATACAGCTCTACAGCAGGTTTGGATCATGCCTAAGAATTCACAGGATATGAAGCCAAATTGAGGCCAGGTGTAAAGGCATCTGGACTCAATATCCCTGCTGTCAAGACTCCCTAAGAGGCCAAAGGGAACCTCTCCCAACCCCAGCCTCCCAAGTGTCATTTATTTTATTGCAGTTGTCCTGTGGTCTCAGGAAGCGGGGAATTCCTGGTCTTCCCAGGCCTTTGGCGAGACTCCTGCCTGCTCTACTGCTCTACTGCCCGTTTGGGTTAGATGCCTCGGGAAGATCCTCTTAATTCAGAGAACTCGTGACTCCGTGGAAAGGTCAGTTCCCGCTGAAAGTCATTCACATCCTCCATCCTTCTCCCCACCCCACCCCCTGCCCATTCTCCCTGTGCCTCCACAGGATGCCCCCTGCTTTGACCCACCCTCCAGGCTTTGCCCCAGTCAGCTCAAATGGCCAGAGTTTCCAATTTAATAATAAACATGCACTGCTCTAAGCACTTTACAAAATGTTAACTTACAACCCACAGAAACCCAACAGGGTGGGTGCTAGTGTTACTGTCATTTTACAGATGATGAAACCGAGGGGAAGAGAGGTTGACTGACTTGCCCAAGGTCACTCAGCTGGAAAGTGCAGAGCCTGGGTTTGAACCAGCCTCTGGGCTCCCGACTACCACACTGCCTCTGAAGGAAGGTCTCCCCACCCTGCCCCCGGAGGATGATTCTCGAACTTTCTCCTCAGTATCACCCGTCAGGTAAAAGAGAGGCAAGGAGAGAAACAAAGATGTGAGCACAAACCCAGGCAAGTGTGGAGCGAAGGGCCAACTCTACAGCTGAACTGTATGGGTTAGAATACTGGACTTTTTCTTACTAACCCTGGTAAGTAAAATGGGAACAATAATAATAGTACACAACTTATGTGGTTGTTTTGAACATTAACACATATTAAGCACTTAGAACAGTGCCTGGCAAATAGTAAGTGCTCAGTACTTTTTTTCTTCCTTTTTTGATCTTTTCACATTCTCCAGAGGCAGAAGCCACAACAAACACTTTTGTGGGAAGAATGTTAGACTTGGAATCAGAAGATCAGATGTGAGTGCCAGCTATCATCCACTTACTGTGTGATCATGTACAAGATTTTTTCCTCTCTGAGTCCTCACTTTTATCATCCCTAAAATGGGTGTGAAAATAATTTCACTCAGCTGAGATAGCACGTAAAAGAGCTTTGTAAGTTGTAAAAGAGCTCTTTGTAAAAGAGCTTTGTAAATTCTGAATCTAAAACACTGTGAAATAGTGATTAAAGAATTATCCCACTTGTTATTTAGGGCTTCTCCTAGGAGTAAGCAGATAGGTGCCTTTCAGGAGGTCTTCAGACTAAAAGACTAGAATTCCACCATTGGAGAGTCACTGTCTGTGTCTCCCAGGCTTTTTGGTTTTCAAGACTCCCCCTTTTAAGGAAGCCTCAGGAAGTGAAGAGCCCAGCATGTTTGGGGCAAGAAAGGAGAAGTCTGAGGGATGTGACTGCCACCTTCAAGGAGCTGAAAGGTTGTCACAGAGTGGGCAGGTCAGACTTCTGAGTGACTCGCCCAAGAGGCAAGAACTGAGTCTCTGAGTGGAAGTAACAGGGGTCAGGTTGAGTGTCTAGAAGAAAGGAAGACAATTCTTTTGATTATAGCTCTCAGAAAATGGGGAAGGCTACTCTGATCGCGAGTGTGCTGTCATTGTAGGCATTCAAGCAGAGAACTGGGACCACTCAAAGGGGATGTGGTAGAGGAGATTGTAAGAGGTAGGAGGGGGGAAACCAGTTGACCTGAGCCTGGGACATTCTAGTTCTTCCGAGGAATGCAGCAGGCCAGTGAGGGAGGGAACAGGAGGGGCAGGCAGGAAGGGAGAAAAGGACAGCCAAGGGGGTAGTTAGCAGCTAGCAGGAGCCCAGGCTCAGCTACAGTGAGTTCACTGTTTTGTCAAGGGCAGTCCCTGTTTATTCGGCCAATTTGGACCCCAGAGCCTAGAACTGTGAACAATCCACTCACTCACTCAGTTAATTCAGCAAACATTTGCAGGCCTGAGAGTCAATGCACCGAGGCCCCAAGTGGGATCGCAGACATTTGAGAGCCTCCTGCACAGTGACCGACAGGGGGCAGGAGAGACACACAGATGTCAAACTGCGCAGCCCTCCCCCTGAGCTTCCCCGCTGGGGAAACTGGGTCACTCGGTCCAAGCGGCAAACATTCCGAGGGGGATGGGCACCTTGGGTCTCCCAGCAACGGCTGTGAGATCCCAGATGCCACCTGACAGGGCCGTAGGAGCCCTCAGCCCCCTGTACTAGCAGACATAACCCCCCGCTTGCAGAAGGATGGATGAGATTGGTAATCTGGGACGGCTGGGACTGGGGGAAGGCTAGAGGGAACTAGTCCCAGCAAAACATGTCATGCAACTGGACACATCCCAGGACGTGTATTAGAGAAGAAGGCCTGCCAGAGCAGGGCTGGGTGCGGCGGTTTGCTTCAGAGAGAACCTGTGACCTCACTAAGGAGTTTGAGGCTCTAGGGTCTGGTTGAAATCTCCATTGGGGTGGGGGAAGGGCTCACTGGCTGACCACGAGTCAGCGGATGCTAGAACTGGTCACTCAGTGGATAGGTGGCAGGTTTGGAGTCAGATTTGCTTTTGTGTCCTGGTTTTGCCACCTGTACCTTATAAGACCTTGTGTGAGTCATTTTCAGCCTTCAGTTTCCTTTTCTCCAGAATTTCTGGTGGTGCTGTTATAAAGATGAAGTGGGGGAATGACGGGAGCCAGAGGACTGCCCTCGTCACCTCTTCCAACCTGGTGGGCACATCTGGGCACAGCAGTGGAAGAGAGGCCTTTTGCACCTGGCAGTGAGGAGGGGATGCCCACTGTACTGTTACTCTGGGCACTGTGAACTCATCCTGCAGGGACACTGCCCTGGAAGGTGGGGAGAGGTCCTCCCCATACACCTCTCCATCCCACGGCACCCCGCTGCAGAGAGGTGCAAGGACCTGGGGAAAACAGGTCTCTCCACCCTCAAACCGTGGTCCCGTGAGGTCTTTGAGGGCTGAGAAATCAGGCAAGTGGAACACACATGGAATGAGAGGGGACCTGGAGGATGGAATGGGAAAGAAGCCACTCCCAAAACTCTAGTTCCTCCCATGGATCCTATAATGGTTAGAAGGGCCCCTTGGACCCGAAGTCAAAGACCCACGTATATATTCTTCCAGACTGTGTTTTATCCACTCATCCAAGCCCTTGAAGCCGGGAATGCGCTGCCCCCTCCTCTCCGGGAGAGGGATGGTGGGCACTGATGCTTCTGTATGAGGGCTCAGCACAGTACTCCATGCTTGTTGGCTGTTAATAAGTAAGGAATCTTGGAGAACTAATTTGAGCCCCCAGTTTTACTGACTAAAAACAAACAAACCAAAAACACATAAAAACTGAGGCTCAGAGAACAGTGGGACTAGAGAAAGGAAAGTTCCTGCCCTTTTCAGTTGCCTCTAGAATCTTCATGACTATTTGGAGAAAGTGACTGGACCCCTACAGTGAGCTGCCCAAACTGAGGAGCCTGGCCCCTGGGGCTCCAAGGAGCAGCCAGTGCATCTGAGGTTGAGGGTGATGGGGCAGCATAATGTGATAAAGCCAGCTGCCTGAGTTGGAACCCAGCACTAGCTGTGAGACTTTCGGCAAGATACTTCCTATCTGGGAGCCTCTGCTTCCTCATCCATCAAATGGAGACAATAATAGTTTTTTTCCTTATAGATACTATTCTTTCCAGTACCTCTTAGTCTGAAATTGGAAACAACAAACTAAATAGACTTCTTTTTCCCTGAAAAAGCCAAATAGCAGAGGACCCAAAAGGAAAGGGGTGGAGCCAGGCTTTGGACTCTTCTAGTCCAGGCACTGGGACCTTTGGGGAGGAAATAGCCCAGGGCTGGGGAACAGGGCTGTGGCCCAGCACACTTCTGCCCCTACATTGCAGTGTGACCCTATTCTGGTTGCCGTGCCTCTTCGGCCTGCTTTGAACAACAGAAGGGTTGAACTTGGTGGCCCCTAAGATCCGTGCAGCCCTGAGCCCCTGAGATTCCCAGCCGCACAGCTGGGCCCTCATCCTCTGGGATGCAGCCCAGGCCTCAAGCAGCCTCAGCAGCTAAAGAAGCAGTGCTTTGCTGGGCTCTGGCCCGCTGCCCAGAGGAGGTCACTCAGCCCCGGGGAAGCCCTTGGTTTGTTGGTTTGGATGCTGAGAAGGGCCAGGCAACAGGAACTTCAGCCTATTGGCCTCTGGTTCCAGCCAAAGCTTTTCAGGGATGGATGCAGAGCAACAGGACTGGCAGAAGCCGTGAAAAAAGCAGCCTGGAGCTCACATTCTGTGGCCTTGCTTTGAAATCCATAACCTCAGCCACATGGGAAGTGATGAAGGCCTGAAAGGAAACAATGGCCAGTGGGCCACAGGGGAAGTTTCCCGTTTGAAAAGGCCTGGGTAAGGGATGGATTCCATGTGCAGGGACAAGCATTAGTAGGTGGAGGCTCTGTAAAGGCCAACAAGCAGGGACCAAAGCAGGTACCCCAACACTGACTCAGTCAGTCAAGAAGCAGGGATTTAGTGTGTTCTCTGTGTGTGGCACTGGGTGGCAGCTGTGGGGATGTCATCAAAGGGGTCAGATGGGGCTGGCTTGGAGGACTTTATGATCCATGAATAATGTATGTGGTATAGACCACACACAAATGATGGGGGGGAAGGGGGTGGGGAGGGGAAGAACTCAATCCCAGGGGGCTCCAAGGACTCCCAGGTGGTGGCCCAGAGCTGGCTGCTCTCCTCTATCGGGCAGGTGGTAGGTCGGTTTTCCTCCCTTGGGCAGTGAGTCATCCGAATACCCCCTCGCTCATTTCAACAACTACAAACACCAAATCGCCCTGACTCTGTGAATTGTGCCCCATGCGTTGACTGACTGGCTCTAGTGACTGCTCTCTGGAGTCACTGGAGGCTGGGTGAGTATGATCATCCTTGTCTGCAGACAAGCAAACTGAGGACCAGTCAGAAGTACCTCACCCAGGCTATCCAGCTTGAGGCCTGGAACTGGGATTTGAATCCATGTCCGACTATCTTCGAATCCTGTATTCATTCCAATAAGATGCCGACTCCCACTGTCTTCCCATTGCCTTGTAGCAAGGATAGACAACACCCCCAGGGCAGATTTTGTCAGAAATGTAGATATTTCCAAGGAAAATCAGCTGCTTTGCTTGCCTCTCCCCACTGTAAGCAGGAAGACGGCTCAGTGTTTGTAGGGCCACCAGGAGAATGCCTAGTGGCCTTCTCCTTCCACAGATACTTCAGCTTGGGACCCAATGTCCTCCACGGTCCCCCGGGATCTTGATGCCTCCACTTCCACTCAGCAACTCCAGGAGTTCTTGGTGACTCATGCAAAAGAAAAAGCAAGGTCCTTGCAGAGCCAGGCAGAGCCCCCTGGAGTCCTCGTGAAGGTCTCTCCAATGACCTTGAGCAAATTTCAGAACCCTCTGAGCCTGGGCCCCCTCATCTGTTAAGACAGTGACAACCAACCATGCCAAACAAAATGTACAGCTTGGTTCTGAGAACTGAATGAGTTAACCTGTGTGAAGCCACCTGACTCTAAGAAGGTATTCAATAAATACTATTCGTCATGAGATAGAATTGGGGGATTTTGTGGCAAAAAGAAAGACTATGGGAATTATAATCATTGAACACCTAAAACATTCCAGTTACTATGCTCAATCCTTTACTTGAACAATTAAGCCTCCCAACACTCCTACAAGGCAGGTAAGTATCTCCTCACTTTGCAGGTAAAGAAACTGAGGCTCCAAGACGTTAGGTTATTTACCCAAGATCAAAATCAAGAATTTGACCCAGAACCCAGGAGTTTAACATCTAAGATGCTCTGCAACAATTCCCACTTTCCTGCCATGACTGGAGGATCCTTCCCTGAAATACGCGCTCTCATCTATCTTTAGATTTTTGTTTAGATAAGCAAGACCTTTCTGAAGGGGCTTCACATCCCTCATGACAATAGTTACCCCTTCTCCTACACGCTCGGGACACTGTGGTTATTTTTATCCACTGCACTTTCCAAATATTACATATATTTACACATCTGTCTCTGGCACTAAGTGGATCCTCTTGGAGGGCATGGACAAAATCTTATTTTATTTCTTTGTTTCCTCTCCAAGCAACCATTACCCATAGCACTGTGCACGCCCAGCTTTTGCTAAATGTTTGTTGACTTGAGGTGTGTGTTAGGCAGAGTTGACCAGAGAGCGCGACAGACCTTAGTCCGAATCCCTATTCCCACTGACTGCGTGACTAGGCAAGTGACTCAGTCCCGCTGGGCCTCCCTCAGTCTCCTCACCTCTAAAACAGGATAATAGCACCTACCATCATGAGGTGTTGTGAGGATGAAATGAAAAAATGCAGGTGTTGCATTTACATAGTGCCTGGGCACATGTTACACAGTCAGTAAATGTGTGTGATAACACCTGAGGGGTAGAGACTGGACAAGGTGGATGCTAGTGACAAGGAAAGAAAGAAGTAGCCCTGGGAAACATGCAGAAATAGGGATGCTGCTGAAGACCAAACTTGCTTCCTTTTTAGAGCATGGTGGAATAGAGAGAGAGAAACAGGTTGGAGATAATTTAGGGAAAGTTCAGTAAAATGTAGAAGGGCCAACAAAATGTGTTTAAGACTGCCGTGACAAGAGGGGAAAAGGAATTGGTTAGAAGTGAGAGAAGCCTGAAGCAGTGTCCCAGAGACTGTCCAGGATGAAAGAAGGGGCCTGGAGAAGAGAGAGATATGCCTATTCTACCAAAATAAGGAAAACGCTGGAGGGGATTGGGCGGGGGGGACATGCAGCTGGGAGAACATTACAAACTAAGGTGGCTGTGGAAGGAGCAGCTTCTGTTGGATCCAAAAGGAGGATCTGAAAGCCAAAAGGAATGAATAATCCAGGCATTGGGCTCAAGGAGGGAGGCAGCTGTCCATTTATGGCTTGATGAACACTTGACTAAGCCCTTTCAGTTAGTTTAAGAAACTCCTTCTAATGCAGTTTGGACTGAGATGTCTTTAGCTGGAGCACACGCCTCGCCAAAGATCCCACCCAGGAGGGAGCAGAGAGCAGTGGAAGCGGGGGGACCCCAGACCCATGGCACAGTCTGTGGAGACTGCGGCCCGCTCTCAGCCCTGGGGTGGGGCAGCCGAAATTTGCCAGGTGGTACGAGGAAGGCCTTCTATTGGCAGTGCGCTGGGCCTCTTTGTCAAATCAAACAGGGTCCTTCTCTGAGCTTCAAACCTAATCTCTGCAATTTAAATCAAAATTTGCGGACACAGAGGCTTCTACCTGCAGGAGGTGGGGGGAGGGAGAAGGTTAGGGGCCTCTTTCCGTAGTTTAGAGACAGGGGGCTGCTCTGAACTGAAGTCCTTGCTCCCTCCTCTGACCATCACTCAGCTCTTTTCTCTAGAGTGAGAGAGGAAGGAGCTTGCCAAGTGGCAGGAGCCAAGTCATTAAGCAGCCTGCAGGGGCAGAAATGGTCTTTCTGGCCTCAGGACTGGAGCGAGATTGTCCAAAGCAATTTATAGGCTCACTTGAAAGGTGACATGGACAGGGAAGTGGCTCGGGAAGAAAAATTCCTTCATTCACAGAGCGTGGAGGCAGACCTGCCCTGCCTGTTAACCAGAAATAGTACTGGGAGCTGGGAGCCTGGAGGAACACCTCCAGCCAGATGTGAAGAGACCCTGTGGACAGATGTGTGCATGTGTGAATGCCCCTCTCGCTCTAATGCAGGCCCAGGTTGCGGGGGGCTGGTGGGTGGTGGTGGTTATGCTCTACTCAGTTATTCAAGGACCCAGGTGGCCCTGGCTTTACCATGTTCAACACAAGGCTGCCCTGTGTCCCAACATCCAGCTGATGGGGAGAGAACACAGAGATCATACCTAGGTCATGGTACCTGAAGTGGCACGCACCACCTCACATGCCATTGGCCAGAACTCATTCCCAAGGATGTGCTAAACTGCAAGGGAGGATGGAAAGTGAAGCTTAGCTGTATGCCCAGGAAGGAGGTGAAATGGATTTGGTGATCCGTCAGCAATCTTTGCCACATGCCCCCAGTAACCCAGGAAATTTGGTGATAGAGGGTTGGACAGAGGTGCCTGAGAAATAAACAGATTGCTGAGACCTGTAGGGCTTGGGACAATATCCCACCTTGGGGTAGCCTTAATAGGTGACCCATCCTTAGCCTTAGGAGCAGGGCGCCCTGTGGGGAAGACATTTGGAGGGGGGTCAGGTAAGATCCAACTTGGAGTGCTAGAAGAACTGTGGCAGCTCTTGGCCTGGGGCAGAGGTGCTCTGGAGGCCTCTGGGGAATGCTCTGAGGAGAGGACGAGGGCCTGGTCACTGAGGGCGAGGTCTGGGTTCCCATGAGGCAGGTACAGGGAGCCTTAGGTCCAGCCCAGGTCACCAGGGTAGAAGAGAAGGCAGGGGTCAGGGACACACACTCCACACTGCAGTACTTGTGTGTAATTCTCCTGTGCCCCATCTTCATGGAAGAAGAGCCGGGGGGGCCAGGGCCTAGCTGGACGAGGCCACCTAGGGGTGAGCAGACAAGAGATGTATCACTGCTCAGGACGCTGGGGTGAGGATGGGAAAGCAGGGCGCCTGGCATCTGAGGAGGAGGGTCCCAGAGTAAGGAGAAAGGGCTCTACAGGAGAACAGGGACACGGAGCCAAAGAACCCTCTTCCGTACAGGGTATAAGGTGTGGCTTTTCATTTTTATGCTGACGTTGTTACTTCTGGGTGTCCCGAGCTATCCAACAGAACTTTCTGCCATGATGGAAGTGTTCTCTATCTGGCTGTCTCACATAGTAACCACTAGCTGCATGTGGTTACAGAGCACTTGAAGTGTGGCTAGCATGACAGAGGAACTACATTTTGAATCGTATTCAATTTTAATTAATTTAAATGAAAATAGACACAGGCGGCTAGCAGCTACTGAGTTGGACAGCACAGGCATAGTTTCAGCCCAAGGGAAGTAGGGTGTGGGCTGTCATTACTTTGTCTGAGTCTCCTCATGCTCTGCCTGTCACTGCTCCTGGGCCCTCGGCTCTGTCCCAGCTTTGGCTTAAGCTGAGCCCTGGGTGGACAGAGGGTCTATGTCTACCCTCAGGTTTGGGCAGATTAGAGCCTCTGAAATCTTCATTTGCTTTCATCCCTGTGGGTCTGGGAAGAGAGGTCAGTCAGAGTGCTGGGCAGCTGGGAAGCATTACTGAATCTTTGTGGTCCTAGTGCTGGAGATGGAGAAGGGGCTTGGACCCTGACTTCTCTGTCCTCGGTTTCAAGGTGTTGGGCTTCAGTCCCGGCTCCTTCGTTGATAGGAGGGTCAGAGACATTGAGGCCCGACTGATGCATCCGCAAGAGGCTCAGGGGCGGCTCACAGCTCACGGATGGGAAATGTAATTGCATCTGCCACTCATCTGCTCCGTGCCCAGACTGTCTAATTGGTAAATGCTTTGATGCCCACTATTCACCCGCCACCCCCGCGCACTCCTCCAACCATCCCCCCAACTGCATTTTGAATCATCAGCACTTTGTTCCTTTCTAGCACATCCCCTCCCCTGGTTCCCAGACCAGCTGAACTAGCTCTGCTTCCAAGCCTATTGTCACTGTCTGCCATCCTGTCATCACTTCAAACATTATCAATAGACATGACTGTCTGTCTGTGTCCCAGAGGGACCCCCAGGTCCAGGGCTGCCTTGCCAGTGCTCTGGGCAACACCCGAGTCCCCGGAGTCTGCTCTACAGTCTAGACCATCCCCCGCCCTCCTCTTGGCTCAGGTGCAAAGCTAGAGGGGCGGGACCTCCACCGATTCCTGTCCCTCCCCTTAGCAGCTCTTTCTCTTCTCTTCTTTCTCTTTATTCTCCTCCCTCTGGAGGAGCCGGCTTTCAACCTCTCTACAGGATACAAGGTGGGCTGGTCCCCAAAACAGTATTTGAAGTTGGTGAGAGGGAGATAATGGGAGAGAGGTGGAGCGCCGTGTGGCTGCAGGGCCCTGGAATCCAGGTGGGTCTGGTCTGCTTCCTGCCCCCTTACACAGGGTCATCTTTGAATCAATACCAAATTTTCTTCCAACCTTGAAGGCTGCCCCAGTCTCCACAGGCCTGAACTGAAGTTATCCTCAAGTCCTGGTTCAAGCCCTACCTGAGTCCCTGACTCTGGCCTCACTAGGCCTCCCAGGCCTTCTTAGAATGGGCACCAGAAAGCTCTTTCTAAAGGGCAAACGTAAGGTATCCTGCTCTGTGTAACATCTTCCAATGGACCCTCAATGACTCCCCAGTAAGGGCTGGACTCCTTAACAGGACTTAGGTGTGTCACAACGTCTTCCTCTTCTCCAGCCCCATACTCTCACGAGGCCAGGCTTCATTTTCCCCTCTAGCTCACATGTGATGTGTGATGGTCCTGTGAAAGGCCTGTTCCTCTGGGTATAGCCAAGATTATTCACAGTTCACCGTGGGCTAGCTCTAAGCCCACTCAGTTCTCTTCTGCTCAGGAAATGCCCTCGCTCTCCATCACCATTCAGATCTGCTCAGGCACGCCACCTCTGTAACGTATTCCTCGTCTCCTAACGCTAGACAGGCGGCAGTAGTCCTCGGTTCCGTCAAAAGCACCCGCATGAGGTTGTGTAGTTTTAATTTCCTTATCTCTCCTACACCTACCCCTAGCACCCAGCACCCAGGTGGGCTCCTTCATATCAGCTAGCAGCATGGAATGAAGCCCACCCTGGCCATCAGCCTGGAGGCTTTCTCCCTGCCTGAAGCCGGATTGCAGGTCCTGGCTCAGAATGGACAGAGAGGATGAACGCAGGACCTATGGTTGATATCATTCATCAAGTGCCCTTCAAGCACTGACTGGTACTGAAAGCTGTTGTTTTCCAGGTGTGGCCTCGATCCCAGCCTTCTCCTTTCTGAAGGATGGAGACCCAGGTGGGGCCAGTGTAGTTTCTTTCACAGAGCAGATGCTCCATAAACATTTATTGGATGATTAACTCCCAGTGTTCAGCTCTCAGGATGATGCTGAGCTCAGATTAAGTTCTGTTGTTGTCGTTCTCTTCTTTGTTTTCTGGTCCACAGGGAAGTGCAAACGATAGTCTTGGGGAGGACCAATGTAAGCCACTTCTTCCCACCCACTGTCCCCTTTACGGTTCTAGAGTCAGAGATTTCTGAGCTGGGCCCAGCAAGCTCTCCCCCGTCTCTGGACTGCTCTCTTGGGACCAGCTTCCCACAGCCTCCCCCGTCCCCAGGAGGAGCCAAGACATCTTATTCATGGATGCTCCTTCTGTGCAGGGCTTTGGTGGTGGCTGCTCTTCCACCACTCTGCCACTCGCTCCGCCGGGGCCCTGCCAAGTTTCCTCCTCCACACCTGATGGCATACCTGGCCGGGTTCTCAGCCTCACTTGGGATTGCTTTCTTTGGTTCCAAGCTGGGTTGCCTTTCCTCTTCTTCTCTGAAAGAGCACCATGGTGCCCGGACCTTTACCAGTTTGCCACCCAATTCCTTTTCTCTCCTGACCTCGTCCCCGTGTGCATCTCTTAGAGCATGGCCAGGGCCCTTCTTACTTGGTCTTTACTTATTTATTTTTCCGGAAGATTTTTCTAAATTTGTTTTTTAATTGAGGTCATATTGGTTTATAACATTATGTAAGTTTCATACGTACAACCTTGTATTTCTACTTCTGTATACACTTCAGTGTATCCCCACCAAATATTCAGTTTCCATTCGTCACATGCAGTTGATCCCCTTTAGCCGTTTTGCCCTCCCTGCTGTCCCTTACCATCCAATCACCACTATGCTGTTCCCTGTATCTACCTGTTTGGTTTGATTTGGTTTGTTCATTTATTTTGTTTCTTTGTTTGCTTGTCTGTTTTTATTCCACATATGAGTGAACTCGTATATGGTATTTGTCTTGCTACATGTGACCCACTTCACCTAGCACCAATACCCCCAACATCCATTCATGCCGCTGCAAAGGGCACGACCCCATCCTCTTTATGACTGAGTAGTACTCCATTGTGTGTGTGTGTGTGTGTGTGTGTGTGTGCGCGCGCGTGTGTGTAGATATAGATATGATATAGATACACACCACATCTTCTTAATCCATTCATTGGAATATTTTTTCACTTACTCGGTCTTTAGCACCAGACTGCACTCATCCTCCTTGAGCCTCAGTGGTGTGTGTCACCTCCCTCTATCACGCTGTGGATTCCTTGAGAGTGGGCTCTGGGACTACGTACAGCTCTGCAGCCTCCCATGCTCTCCACGTTCTCCCTCGGGACCTTGCCCATGGTAAGCCTTAATGCCTTTTTATTGATTACTCAGAGATGGAGGCTCGTGAAGGGGTTTTTGAAACTTGGGATCTCTTCCATTAAGACAATGGTACTTGGGATCTCTTCCACGAGGACAACGTTTCCCAAGGTGGGTTGTAGGATATCAATAGGCGTTATAGGATAAAGAGACCCATGATCAACTAAAACATTTCGTAGAGCCCTTAATGTGTTCATGTACATTGTGATTTTCCAAGTTAAAAGGTGTGGGGGTCTAAGAGCCCCATGGATTAGGATCCCCATGGACACAGGACCCTAAGACCGGTACTCAGGATGGTAGGAGACATCTACTATATCAGGTAAAGGATAGAAGGCAACTGGTTAGGGCAAAGACCAGGGTAAGGTCAGCAAGTAAAGCCAGCCTCACAAAGATGCACTCTGGATCACAGGGCCTGCACAGCTAACGCCAGATGGGACTCCCAGTAGGTGAAGGGAGCTCTCAGAGTCTTATCTCCCCCCAGCACCAGGGGGTGGTACACTGTCATCAATAGCTGAACCAATAAACTTTCACTCAAACTACCATACACCTGGACCCAACAGCCAGATTACAGACAGAGAGTTTCGAATTAAGCTGAAGATCTAGGAATTTTCTGCCAGGACTTATAAGCAAAATAGATGGCTTTCTATGAGGCTGGACTGGCCACAGCCAAACAAATTTGGCCAAGAAACCCTTTTTTTTTTCTTGAAACCCCTCACGGGATTGATGTGTCTGGGAACACACCTCGGTAAATGTGCCTTAGAGGCACTAATCTCTCTTCGCATCAGGGAGGAAAATCCATAGCACCACCACTGGTGTTCTGTGGACCTTCTGTTTATAAAGCACCTCTGGGTACTTATCCTGTCATAGGAATCTCCCAGCCTTCCCCTGGATGGTAGGACTAATGTGGCCATTGTCCCCATGGTACAGGTGACAGAAGGCAGGGAGGGCCCTGGGTTGGAGAGTCCTGAGTCATGCATTTGAAAGTCTGCTCTGCTAGTTACTATTTGTGGACTATCTATCTCTGAAATGGGAACATCTGTCTCACAAGGTTACTGACAGGATGAAATGAAAATATGTGTTAGGTTACTGTGTAAAACCCCCTACCCCAATATGTGTTTATTGGACCCATGCTGTGTGGCTCTCCATAAAGAAGAGATACCACTCACTGGGTACCATACACAGTTCTTGGCACTTTCTGTATGCTTTTTTTCTCTCTCTCTCTTTTTTTCTCTCTCTCTTTTCTTCTTTTTCTCTTTTTTCTCTTTTTTTTCTCTTTCTCTGTATGCTATTTAATGTAATCCTCCCAATACCCTTGTGGTGAGGGTTGGTTATTATAATCCCCACTTTCTAGACGAGGAAACTGAGGTTCAGACATTTGAGATTTTCCCAAGTTTACATACCTAAAGTAACAGTCAGAAAACTTGAAATCAGAGCCAAACCCAAAGCCCATGTTCCATGCTCTTGAATGTTGAGTTAAGATGCTAGTTCTAAAAAATAAAAATAAAAAAAACAAGGCCTACCTCACATGCAAAAACAAACAAACAAAAACAGATGAAAAGGATACTCATTCTAGGCTATGCTGAATAGGGTTCCATGTCATAAACATCAACAGTATTCATGTTAACCTTTAAAATTAAAAGCAGTAAGTTGGTGTTAAAAGAAGTGTGCCCAAAGCTTAGTTCCACAAGCAGCAAGTCTTTCTTGTCTGTCTTCCATTTTCCTGCTCTGGGAAACAGGGGAAATTGCCACTATTTCCCAAGGCTGTTGCAAGAAGTAAATTGACCTAGAATATGCAAAGCAGCTACAACAGTGTCTGGCTCTTGGCAGACACTCAATAAGTGTAGCTGAATGAGATTCTTTGTAGCTTATAATCCAGCAATAACACATAGGAACATGCCTGCAGATAACAGTGATTTTTAACACTGAATATAAGAGCGGTGAAGACATCAGTGCTCATTTCTATTACTGTGTTTTAACAATCAGGCGGTGAGACATGAGGGCAGGGCAGGAGCCGGCAGAATAACCTAGGGGTTAAGAGTACCACACAACCTGATCAAATCCACTTACCAGTTTGGGGCCCTTGGGAAAGTTCCTCGGCCTCTCCGTGACTGTTTCCTCATCTGTAAAATGGCAGGATAGTTGTGAGGATTAAAGGAGTGAATATATGCAAAGCACTTAGAACACTGACTGGCACAGGGTAAATGCTATGTAAGCATCCACCACCTCCAGCTACCAGCTGTCTCTCCCTCCTCTGAACCCTTGTAACTCTTATGAACGCCAAAGACAGGCTGGGATGACTTTCATGCTTTGGCATTTTTTGGCGTATACACGTTTTATCGCTCCTACTAGATTTAAGCAATTTGAGGGCAGGATGCTGTTGGATTCGGCCCACGCAGAGCTCATACAAAAGCAAATGCTCCACAGCTGATTGTGGAATCAGTGAAGAAACCAATGAATTAGAACACAGCCTTGGGGTCCAGTTCTGAAGGGTAGAGGGCATGTGCTTCCCCCTCCCATGCAACTCCATGGCCGGGCCCTTTCACTACGCTGATGTCCCTCTGCTTCTCTCCTCTAGTCCTGGCTACAGAGATCCCAAGAAGTGCACCGTGCTCTGAAGAGGCAGACTGAGGCTGTAGGGGCCCGGCCGCCCCTCCCCACAATGCTTTGGCCGGTCAGCCAGCACCCGAGACCGCAGACCAGCCTGACAGGCCGGCAGAGTAAGTGCTCAAAAGCATGTGGGAGTGTGACGTAAGAAAGTGTTCCCCCCACTACTGTCTGAAAGCCCACCCTTGCTCTCCAGGCATCCTCTGCGACAGCTCAAAGACGATTAGCATAGGAAGTCATTAGCTACGAGGCTTTCTGCAGCTCAGAGTAGGAAAAGTGATCAAGGGCCCAAGGGACTGAGATGGGGAGGAGGAAAGGAGGCAAATTCTGGAGCCTGGGCAACAGAGGATTGCTCTCTCTCCTCTCCAGGGTCCTGGTAGTTAGGGTCTGGCTCACAGGGTATCAGAGAGGAAGGAGCTCCAGAGGTCCTCAGTATCCAACCCTCCTAGTGAAATGACCAGAGGGGGCAGACCACACTGCTCACATCTGTCCCAGGCTCATTCCTCACCCCTGTCTTCCCATCCTCTTCCCAACCCCCTCCACTGATGTTCAACACATGTGCCATTCTTCCGGGAGGCCACCTGGCACAGCTGCCCAAACTTGGGCTTTGGGAACAATCAGACCTGATTTCAGATGAGGACTCTCTCAATTATTGTCCATGTGATGCTGGTCAAGTTCCCTAACCTCTCTGGGCTTCAACTTCCAATATTACTAACGTTACTATGCCAACAACACTAATTTCACAATATTGTTGAAATTGACGAGGGCTAATTACATTGTCTCCAATGGTGCCTAGTACATAGTAAGTGTTCAGCAAATTATTATTGGGGGGATACAGTTCCAGGTCTAGTCATACCGTACAATCCCTTTCCCTCTGTTTTCAGCCAGCTGAAAGCCAGCCAGAGTCACGACAAGGCATCAGGAGATCTGGGGTGGGCAGGACAGTCCTTCCTGTTCTCTGGGTGACCTGTCAGGGAGAGTTACAGGCTGAGTGCTGAACCGAACCTCGTGTCTGTATGTGTGTTGTAGGCAAGCGCATTTGCTAACCAGACCAAGCCATCCTCCTGCCCTGAACCCTCTAGATGAGCTGTTTGTCTCCCCTCCCCCTCAATCCCTACTTGCTTTTCTCCAGTAAAGACCTTGGGGTCTGAGTAGACAGATAGGTTGGATGCTTGATTGGGGAAAGAAACATTGCAAGAGTGACATCAGTAACAAACAAGAACAATAGCAAATTTTTGAGGGCAGACTGTTTGGTAAGTTGTATGCCCATTACTTCATTATCACAACCCTTAGAGAAAGGTACTCTTATTATTCCCATTTTATAGATAAAGAAGCAGGCTCAGACAGATCCAAAAACTTGTCCAGGGTCACACGGTTAACAAGTAGGGACATCGGATTTGAATTAGTCTGACTCCAGGGTCCATCTACCATGAACCCAATACCTTACCAGATGCCTTAAATAATTTCTAATCCTCACAACAACCTTATGAGCTGGATATTGCTTTTTTTTTACTACTAAGAAAACAAAGTTAGAGAGGATAAATGACTTGCCCAAGGTCATACAGCTGGGAGCCGTGAAGCCAGCGTCCAAATCTGAAGCCTATATATTTTCTCCATTCCACTCTACCCTAGAGCCTCTGATTCGGCAGAGCTTGGAAGGGGGACTCTGAAGAGAAGGGAAACTGACCCTGATAAACACCTAGTATATTGTTGATGTTTTTACACAAGCACCTCATTTAATCCTCACAACCACTCCATTAAGAGGGTATAATTAGCTCCAAGGAGAAAATCAAGCTCAGAGAGTGCAGTGACTTTCCCAAGATCATACAGCTACAAGCAGTAAAATGAGGAATCATCTTCACTACTGGCTCCAGAGGACTTGCTGTTTCTACTGGAGTGTACCATCTACAACGCCCCCTCTGCAGGCTTTGTGACTGCACTTTGTTCCCAACCCAAGGCTCCCTCTGTGCTTCAGGAGACTCACCTCTATGGATGGCATCACAGGGCTCCTTGCCCTCTGCCTTCCGCTTTGGGTTAGATGAACAGGAAGCTTCGGGAGGAGATCAGAAGCCATCCAAGAAAGATCAGGGTATTTGCTCCGCTTGCTCTCTCCCTCCCTTGCTTTGAAGCTACAGCTCCCCCTCCTCGTATGGCTCCAGCTCTCCCTGGGTCCCCAAGAACACTATTTCAGGCCAGGGGGTGGGAAGAGCTTCCTGCTGTTGCTCGTCTCCAGCTGCCTCAACATTCCTTGTTGAGTCCCTTAATGCTGTCACACCCCTGCAGATGGTCCCTTCATCCCTTACTTTCATCATCCCAGTTAAGTGTCTTTCTGTTTCCTGCTGGGGCCTGACCAAGTCTCCTAATGTCCATCTGAGGCTGCTCCTCTTGGTCTACTTGGAAGGAAGGCCAATGGCTTCTTTGCGGGTCAGATAGGTCCAGGGCTTTCCCAGACGAATTAGTGATGGGCAGGACAGTGGACAGGCCCTGGAGGCAGGCTCCTGATACTGTCCTTGCCTCTGTCCATCTGGAACTGCAGCTTGGGGCAGCTCAGCCTTTCCACTTCCTCATCGTTAGTATGTGGGCTTCAACTAGATGTTCTCTCTTAACTGGAAGGTAAAGGACTTGCCGATCCTGCACAGCAAGGCAATGATGTGAGGACGAGAACTCCTGGCTTTTACATCAGTTACTGGTTCTCTGCTTTACTCTGCAGTGTTTCCCTTCACAGCTCAATAACTATTTCACCAGTGGTCACTCAAAATAATCACCCCCTCCATGCCATACCAGACAGCTTAGGTCCTGAAAACAGTCACAGCTCTTTGACTTATTCTGCCACTTTGCCTTCCCAGGTCCCTAGCCTCTGGCTTTCCTCACATGGGAGAGCTGGTTAAAAGTCAACATTCCCAGAACTGAATGGGGAAAAGCTGGGGAGAAGGGAAGAAGCCTGATCTCTCCCCAGCGGTGTGTGTACCAAGAGAAGATGAATGTGATGCTCTGGGAGTTCAGCTATCTCCCGGGAGAGAAATGCATCTGTTGATTACATTTCTGTTCTGAAAAACATGGTCCTTGGAATAGTGCTTAGCTGATCCTGGCACTGGGCTGTGAAAGCTAAATTGTCTCTGCCCCCAACTCATCCCTCCCACATGGTGGATTTGGAGAAAGAGCTGGATTTGGAGAGGTTGAGGAGGAAGGGGGGCCCAGGACATGGCAGGGGCTGGAGGTAGAGCATGTGAAGACATGGTGGTGTGGGGTTATGCCCCTGGCACTCCTGTGGGGCAAATAGAAGGGCCCGCGCGGGACCGCGCAGGGGCTTAAGAGGTGTGCACAAAGGCAGAGCCCTCTCGGCCCGGGCACCGTCCATGGAAGGCAATGTCGATTCAGCATTGCCCCTCTGCTTCCCACTCAGAACAAACCTTCTTTCCTGTTTACACATTAGGGGGTCATGTCTGGAGGAGGTGGAGAGGAGAGCCCCCTGCAGCTCCTCTAGGAAGCTCCTGGGAGGGAGTGATAGGGAACAGACAAGACCAGGGCCAGAGAGCATGGGAGGAGAGAGGATCCATCCATGTTGAGGCCCGGGGGAGGAGGGCTGCACTGCAGACAGCTGGCAGTGCCAGAAGCTGGGGGCAGAGGGCACATGGCAGGAGACAGGAGGAGGAGCTACACTTCACGTCTAAGAGGAGGAGGTACTGGTCCTCTGTTTCCCTTTGGGCTTTTGTTGTTTACCTGAGTGATTCCTGGCCCCGGGGCAACACAGAGCATTTCTCTGACATGCACTAGAGATGTGACTTAATTGCCTTCAGATTCTGCTTGGGGTTTTTCCCTCTGAATTTCACCAAATGGTCCAGGTTTACCCTGACTGCCATTTTAGTGTGTTTTATTTTCTCTACCACCTAATGTCCCAGAGGTCCCCAGAAGCTGCACACCTTTCTGTAAGCCCCAGGGTGAGCCTCCCTCTGAAAGTCTGGACCAGGCCCGGGAAGATCTGCTCATGGGCTGTGATTTGGGCACCTTGCCCCCTCCCCTGCCCACATGCCCTCCTTCCTAGAGCACACAGACTCTCAGGCAGTGTCTGAGATGCCATAATATGGAAAGAGCAAATTCCTTGGAAGAAAATGTAGGCTTCTCTTTGGGCCTTGGATTTAAAATGCAGACTCGAGGTAGGGTAAACTGCCTTGCGGTTTAGGGTGAATTTACCAGTTAGCTTTTATCCTCTAAGAGAGACTGATCTGACAGTACCTGGTATCACCTGGAACTGCTCCACCTCTGAACCCTTGACTTCAAACATGCCACTCTCTGGGTACAAATCTTCTGTCCTTTCAGCTTTTCCCTAAACCCCTCATTCTTCCTCAAGACCTTCAGCTCTCAACCCCTCTGTCAGCTCCTCCTGACCTCACCCCTTCTCTGACTAGGTCTCCGCTCCTTGATTGACCATTTGACCCAGCCTCTTCTATTCTTTTTTTTTTTGAATTTTATTTTATTTATTTTTTTATACAGCAGGTTCTTATTAGTTATCCATTTCATACATATTAGTGTATACATGTCAATCCCAATCTCCCAGTTCATCCCACCACCACCACCACTACTTCCCCCCCCCCTTGGTGTCCATACGTTTGTTCTCTACATCTGTGTCTCTATATCTGCCTTGCAAACTGGTTCATCTGTACCATTTTTCTAGGTTCCATATATATGCGTTAATATACGATATTTGCTTTTCTCTTTCTTACTTCACTCTGTATGACAGTCTCTAGATCCATCCACGTCTCTACAAATGACTCAATTTCGTTCCTTTTTATGGCTGAGTAATATTCCATTGTATATATGTACCACATCTTCTTTATCCATTCGTCTCTCGATGGGCATTTAGGTTGCTTCCGTGACCTGGCTATTGTAAATAGTGCTACAATGAACATTGCGGTGCATGTGTCTTTTTGAATTATGGTTTTCTCTGGGTATAAGCCCAGTAATGGGATTGCTGGGTCATATGGTAATTCTATTTTTAGTTTTTTAAGGAAGCTCCATACTGTTCTCCATAGCAACTGTATCAATTTTCATTCCCAACAACAGTACAAGAGGGTTCCCTTTTCTCCACACTCTCTCCAGCATTTGTTGTTTGTAGATCTTCTGATGATGCCCATTCTAACTGGTGTGAGGTGATACCCCATTGTAGTTTTGATTTGCATTTCTCTAATAATAAGTGATGTTGAGCAGCTTTCCATGTGCTTCTTGGCCATCTGTATGTCTTCTTTGGAGAAATGTCTGTTTAGGTCTTCTGCCCATTTTTGGATTGGGATTTTTTTTAATAATGAGCTGCATGAGCTGTTTATATATTTTGGAGATTAATCCTTTGTCCATTGATTCATTTGCAAATGTTTTCTCCCATTCTGATGGTTGTCTTTTCGTCTTGTTTATGGTTTCCTTTGCTGTGCAAAAGCTTTTAAGTTCCATTAGGTCCCATTGGTTTATTTTTGTTTTCATTTCCATTACTCTAGGAGGTGGATCAAAAAAGATCTTGCTGTGATTTACGTCAAAGAGTGTTCTTCCTCTAAGAGTTTTATAGTGTCCGGTCGTACACTTAGGTCTCTAATCTATTTTGAGTTTATTTTTGTGTATGATGTTAGGGAGTGTTCTAATTTCATTCTTTTACATGTAGGTGTCCAGTTTTCCCAGCACCACTTATTGAAGAGACTACCTTTTCTCCATTGTATATCCTTGCCTCCTTTGTCATAGATTAGTTGACCATAGGTGCGTGGGTTTATCTCTGGGCTTTCTATCCTGTTCCATTGATCTATATTTCTGTTTTTGTGCCAGTACCATATTGTCTTGATTATTGCAGCTTTGTAGTATAGTCTGAAGTCAGGGAGTCTGATTCCTCCAGCTCCATTTTTTTCCCTCAAGACTGCTTTGGCTATTCGGGGTCTTTTGTGTCTCCGTACAAATTTTAAGAATTTTTGTTCTAGTTCTGTAAAAAATGCCATTGGTGATTTGATAGGGATTGCATTGAATCTGTAGATTGCTTTGGGTAGTATAGTCATTTCACAATATTGATTCTTCCAATCCAAGAACATGGTATATCTCTCCATCTGTTTGTGTCATCAGTGTCTTATAGTTTTCTGAGTACAGGTCTTTTACCTCCTTAGGTAGGTTTATTCCTAGGTATTTTATTCTTTTTGTTGCAGTGGTGTATGGGATTGTTTCCTTAATTTCTCTTTCTGATCTTTCGTTGTTAGTGTAAAGGAATGCAAGAGATTTCTGTGCATTAATTTTGTATCCTGCAACTTTACCAGATTCATTGATTAGCTCTAGTAGTTTTCTGGTGGCATCTTTAGGATTCTCTATGTATAGTATCAGGCCATTTGCAAACAGTGACAGTTTTGTTTCTTCTTTTCCAATTTGTATTCCTTTTATTTCTTTTTCTTCTCTGATTGCCATGGCTATGACCCAGCCTCTTGTAATCTGGCCCTGTGTTAGTGTCCTAGGGCTGCTGTAACAAAGTACCATAAGCTGGGGGGGCTGGGGGGGGAGGTGTCTTAAAACAATGGGAAACTTATTGTCTCACAGTTCTAGAGGCCAGAAGTCCAAAATCAATGTGTTGGCAGTGCCGCGCTCCCTCTGAAGGCTCTAGGGGAAAATCTTTCCTTGCCTCCTCCAGCTCCTGGTGGTTCCTGGTGTCTCTTAGCTTGTAGCAGCATAACTCCAGTTTCTGCCTCATCTTCACATGGCCTTCTTCCATGTGCATCCTTTTCTGTCTCTTATAATGACACCAGTCATTGGATTTAGGGCCCACTCTAATCTAGTGTGACCTCATCTCAATTCTTACCTAATTACATCTGCAAAGACCCTATATCCGGAACCAGACTTCAGAGAGATAATGGAGCTCAGTGAGCAGGAACTCCCTCGACCTCCAGCCCTAGGGCCCTAAAAATTATCCATCTTTTCACCTTTCCCACCTTCCTTCCACACATTTAAGGCTCTAGGCATCCCTCCTCTTCTTGGAGGTTCATTCAGATCTTTACAACACTTGCCTGGTCTACGGTAAATTATCCTGACTATATTTTTCTGCTTCCACATTCATCCCACTCTTATCTCTCCTCTCATTCCACTCTGCTGCTTAAAAGCTATTCATTCATTCATTCATTCATTCACTTATTTATTAAGCACCTACTATCTGCCAGCCATTATGTTAGCTCCGGCCACCACTCTGGCCTCATTTGCTGCAACCAATGAAATCATTGCCAGAAAGAGCTTTCCATGGCTTTGCCATAGGATAAAGTTCACTTTCTTAGGTTGTGGATAACGCCCTTAATATGTGACCCCACCTACCCTTGACCTCTGTCTCCCATAGCTCACACATCTAGCCAGGCCAAGCCGCGGTCTTATACTTGCACACCATGGTGCTTTTCCTCTGATTGAAATGCCTCTGCCTCCTGTCTGCCTGGAAAGCTAGTCATCTCCAAAGATTCTGTGCTAATGTTATCACCTCCCAAGAGCCTTCCTGGACAATCCTGTCCTGGACCCCCTATTTTTTGCCACATAAAACTCTTACTGCATGAATCATACTGCCTTTTGATGATTTGAGAGACATGTCTCTCTCTTTTCCCTTGGAGTCCAGGACAATATTTTATTCATTTTTATATCCTCTGTATCTGGAATATGTTTTAATAAATGTTTAAGTTTTTCATAAAAGAGATGGTGGAAGTCTCAATTCAGCTGAGCGCTGAATCTGCATAAAAGAGTTAGAACCTCCCCATCTCACCCCACCCCCTGCACCTGACCCCACTGTGCGTTCTCCTTGGCTTCCCACTGCCAAGGGGGCTCCACTGGGTTAACGGGGTTGAATTGTGTCCCCCCAAATTCATATGTTGAAGTCCTAACTCTCAGTATCTAGAATATGACTTTATTTAGAAATAGTCTTTGCAGATGTAATCAGTTAAGATGAGGTCATACTGGAGTAGGGTGGGCCCCTAATCCAATGTGACAGGTGACTCTACAAAAAGGAGACATTTGGACATAAACACACACACAGGGAGAATGCCTTATGGAGTTGAAGGTGACGCTGGCACCTGCCATACCACACCAAAGATTGCCAGCAAACCACCAGAAGCTAGGCGAGAGGCATGGAACAGACCCTCCCTGTTCCATGCCTCAGAACCAACCCTGAGGTGGCCCTGATCTCGGACTTCTAGCCTCCAGAACTGTGAGAAGATAAATTTCTATTGTTTAAGCCACTCTGTTTACGGCATTTTGTTACCCCAGACCTAGGAATCTAACACAGGAGATAAAAGTGCTCAGAGAAAACACTGCCTTTGATTTCCACAGCACAGCTCTTCATCTTTCATACCCATGTGCCATTTGATCCCCCATAAACCTGTGAGGTGATGTCCTTGGTTATTACTCTCCCCACCTTCAGATAAAAAAACTGAGGCTCAAGAGGGGCAAAGCCATTTGGCTTACAGTTTTCCCTGGGCTTTGTTTTTTTTTTTATGGGCAGAAACAGACTTCAATTTTGGTCTCTTTCCACTACTACATCAGGCTGCCTTAAGGCAGCTTTGAAATGTCCAAAATATTATGTGATTTGTGAAGTTGTTATCATTATTCATGAATAACAACATGCGGTTAGTCTTCTCCAGGAGAGCCCAGCCTTCAAGGCTCAAGCCTGTTGTACTCACAAAACAGCTCCATAGATCCTGTAGGACCTCTTTCAAGGCCCCCAAGAGCAGGGGACTGTTGACCCATCCGAGCTCCTAGATCCACTGTGTGCCCACCCTGCCCCAAGCTGAGGATCTGGGGAAGGCATTCACCCAGGCTACACTTGCTCTCCCCACCCTGGCCAGAGGAGCTTCCCCAAAGAGTGGCCATTTCTCTCTTCTGAAGAAGGAGTTCTGGAGACCAGCCCAGGCCTGCTCTTATACCTCAGGGTCACATCTCACCCAGACACCCCCCAGCCATTCTCTTAGGCCCAGTGACCCTCCCCCAATGGGATTTCCTTCTTAAAGCTGCCATCACCCACTCTCATGCCCAAGACTCTCCTACTCACTCCACCCTGGCTGCAAGGGAGCCAGAGTCCCCAGTGACTCCTTCCTCTTGTTACCGAACTGGACTCCCGTCCACTCGCCCCAGTGTAGGAAAGCCAATCTACTGACCCCGCAGTTGTGGTGAAGGAAAGTACGGCATTTTTTTATTGTAGGGCACCAAGCAAGGGAAACAGGCAGCTACTGCTCAAAAGACCCGAGCTCCCCAGTGACTTTCCAGCAAGAGTTTTTAAAGGCAGCATTAGTGGTGAGGGTTGCAGGGCACATGATCAGCTCCTGGACATTTTTCTGATTGGGTTGGTGGTGAGGTAACAGAGTGATGCTTTGGGAATCTGAATCATCAACCTTTTGGTTCCAACTAGTCTGGGGTCTACGTGCTGGTGGTTAGCATGTAGTCACCATCCTCCACCAGCTAGGGGTCTTAGTTTCTGCAGGACAACTCAAAGATATGCACCAGATCGTTATGTATATTCCT